GGTTTGTGTCTTTTATTGGTTCTTTGTGTTTTGGTTTCATGTTCCCTTGTTTGTTTTTCTCTTGTGCTTCTGTTTCTCAGTGTCTCCTATCATTTCTCATTCTTGCTTCAGTCAGTTGTTCTGTGCTTCTTCTGAAAAGTTAACCATTCACCCCTGATGCCACTCCCAGTCAGTCCAGCCACTTGGTTAGCATGATCACTAACACTAACATACTTTTGTTTTARTTCAGATGAGAATTTTTAAGATGAATTAGAAAAAAAAAGTACAGAAAAATATAATTTTGTTATATCTGTACTTTTTAAACATGTTTTCATAGAAACAAAAACAGGTGTATTTTAACCAAAACKTGACAAAATAAAATACTTACAAAAATTTTGAGTCTGTTAAACAATCATTATAATGCAGTGTGTTTAATAAAAAAAAGTTACAACTTTTTTCTATAATAATCCCTTTTTTTCCAATATAGTATGTGTTTTTGTTAAGAATGAGGGGTACAATGATGTGTCACTGTTGACTGTTTTCTTTCATCAACACTTCAAATCTAATGTGCCAACCCCAACACAAAGAATATTACAAAAACAATAAAAAACTAGGAAAAATAATAAAAATATATTTTTTTCCAGTAATGCAATGAAACCATTTGAAACACAAACATATACTAACCACTTTGAGAACAAGTTGAACAAACATCAGTCTCTTAACTTTATGCAAATTMTCTCCACGACTCAGATATAAAAACCTCCTCAGACTCTCAGTAGAGTTCATGTTGCTCTAACCGTGGTCAACATGTTTCCTGCATCTCTGCTGCTGTTGTTGGCAGCTGGTTGTGAGTTTTACTGAATTGTTCTAAAGTCAATAGATTTTATTGAGAATTTAATTTACTTTATTAAAATCTTTTCTTCTATAACAGGTGTGATGTGTCAGAAGATGACTCAGCCAGCCTCTGTGACGGTGCCGTCAGGTCAGCGTCTGACCATCAACTGTCAGATCTTCTATTCAGTTAATGATCATCACACTCATTGGGTCAGACAGCCTGAGAGAAAAGGACTGGAATGGATCGGAGGAGCTCGTATTGGATATAATTCATATTTCAAAGATTCACTAAAAAACAAGTTCTCCATCAGCTTAGACTCTACCACCAACACAGTGACTCTGAAGGGAGAGAACATGCAGGCTGAAGACTCTGCTGTGTATTACTGTGCGCGAGAGTCACAGTGATATAAAACATGAGGCGACCTGAACAAAAACTCCTGAGACTGAACATTCAATGCATGAAACCACCAGAGGAGGTGCTCTGACACCTGGAGTGAATCTAAGACCTCCTGATTGTCAGATGCTGTAAACTGAAGGAACAACAGCAACAATGGTTTCTCTAAAATGAAACAATTAGGAAAAATAAATTATTCTTCTATGTTAGCAAAATCCCGGGCCTTTGTGGGGAAAAATGTAACATTAGGAGAAAGTTCAATGGAACAAGGACAATGTGTAGTTTAATTTGGTTTAATATAAGGCACCCCTCTTCTGGAACGACCTCTTAGCATTAAGAATATGTTCCAGAACTGAACTGAACTTTTTCCTTTATTTTTTTTTAAAGATTACATGACACACTGTCTTCTGTTCCAATAAAATTGATTGTCCTTCAACAACTTACCAAGAATATTCAGACATAACATTCTTCAGATTTAAGAGAAAAAAACATTTATGAAATTCTAGTTTCGTTTTATTATTGTCTCATAAATGACTGATGTCGGTATGATTTGAACTTTAGAGCCGATGCCATTCTAATCAGTGAAGTGTAAAAGTTGTCTGTCCTGCTGATCTGTCTGCCATGTGAGTTAATTTAATTTAATTTAATTTAATTTAATTTAATTTAATTTAATTTAATTTAATGTGTGTGTGTGTGT